ATATATATATATATATATATATATATATATATATATATATATATATTTGCTTGGACTAGCTGTGAGTTGTCTTTTCTAAACTAAAATCTCAGTTTTCAGGTTTTATTGTGGTGTTGGCACTTTGTGCTAAATAAGTGGGTTTTGGGTTGCAGTTTGGGCACTTGATCTCTAAAAGGTTCACCATCACTGGATTAGGGTTAGAAAAAGGAGCTGTCCTGGCATGATTTTGATGGTTGGAATGTGTTTAGAATGGGCAGATTTGATGAGCTGTGCAGAAAAAGCAACTCAAGGAAGGCTTTTTCAAAATCGCCATCTTTTCAATGGTACTTTACCCATATGTTAGGGTTGGGGTATGCACCAGGGCAGGGTTAGGGTTAGAAAAAGGAGGTGTCCTGGCATGATTCTGATGGTTGGAATGTGCTTAGAATGGGCAGATTTGATGAGCTGTGCAGAAAAAGCAAGTCAAGGAAGGCTTTTTCACAATCGCCATCTTTTCAATGGTACTTTACCCATATGTTAGGGTTGGGGTATGCACCAGGGCAGGGTTAGGGTTAGAAAAAGGAGGTGTCCTGGCATGATTTTGATGGTTGGAATGTGTTTAGAATGGGCAGGAATGATGAACTGGGCAGAAACAGCTACTCAAGGAAGGCCTTTTCAAAATTGCCCTCCTTTCAATGGTATTTTCGTCCTATATTAGGGTTAGGGGTGTGCACCAGGGTAGGGTCAGGGCAGTGGTGGTGAACCTATGGCACGCGTGCCACAGCGGGCACACAGAGCCCTCTCTGTCGGCATGCGAGTCAAGTCACCCCAGCATCGCCCCAGCAGCCGAGCATCGGATAGCAGTGCACAAAGCGGCCATGCGCATGCTTGGAAGGAGTAGCAGCGCCAGGTGATGACATCATGAGTTGCGACTCATTAGCCGTGACTTGTCCGAGCTTTCTCATGCCAGGTCAGTGCACTGCTAAGGATATATATGTGTGTGTGTGTGTGTTTGGACTGGCTGTGAGTTGTTTTTTCTAAACTAAAACCTCCGTTTTCAGTTTTTATTGTAGCGTTGGCACTTTGCGATAAATAAGTGGGTTTTGGGTTGCAGTTTGGGCACTTGGTCTCTAAAAGGTTCTCCATCACTGCTCTAGGCACTTGAGCAGGTGCAAAAATGCATCTCTTCCTTTTCAATGGAAAAAGAGCATTTTGATCACTTTGATATTTCTCTGTCCTTTTAAAAAAGGGGTTTTAGGCAAAGCTGCTCTGTGACAGTCAGGCAAAATGAAACAAGCATTTCCTGTACAAATGAACAAATCCTAATTATTGCAGTAACATCATTATTGTCACATTTATTTATAGTTGCAGATTGTGTCACCACAATTTTAAATAAATAACTCTGGAGTCAAAATGGCAGTCCACATCTCATAATTTCTGGAGATTCCAGTGTTCTGACCATAAATAAATATTTAAAATTTAAGGTAATGTACCCCAAGCATCCATTGCTCTTCTGTGGAAGAAATAGGGATTCATACTTCTAAACAAGTTTTCAAAGATTTGGCTGAGCAATCTAATGACAGACTTTCCCTGCTGAAAATTAGTCCCCTTGTGAACTTTCAACCTGTTGCTTCCTGTGCTGAAAATTAGCAAAGTCGCCCGTTCCTTTTTATATTACAGGAAATACAGCCACGCTACTTCTTGTTTAGCAGCAAGGAAGCCAGTTTCCATAAAACCCAGCAAGGTGAGTGTAATGAGTAATATAGACTGTGAATGACAGGATAGACCAGTGGCCAATAGGAGTGGTGGGGTAGATGGCAGGTCAGTGGGGGGGGGGGGCATGGGCCACAGGAGGCAGAGCAGCCTTTTAATCCCTGACAGTCAAGCAACCCATACTACAGAAAAAGAAAACTGAGGCAGCAATCTGCAAAGGGGGATTGGATGGGGAAATCATACAATCCTACATACACAGGTACGCCTTTGGACCTGTACTCTTCTGTCCCGTCTGCAGCTCCATTACAGATGACTCTAATGACCAAATGTATCTAAATTGATGAGTGGGAGTGGAGAATCTGCACAACTGTAATAACACTGATAAGCATGATAATTAAATCATTATACTTCCCTGTCCAACCTGCTCTGTCTAGCCCTGCCTAAATTCTTGATCCCAATGAAAATCCTGCCTCTGCCACTTTGTAAAATGAAGGGTTGCACTTCCCAAGCTGGAATTTAGGGAATAGGTGGGAAAGCTGGAGGCACAGGGACTTGAAAGGGGGCATTGAAACCCCTGGGGATCTTCTGTGAAGGGAGAAGAATGGCCCCGACTCCATTTTGCAAGCAAAGTTCGTGCACAGCTTTGCTTTGACTTAACATCTCGGCTTTTGACAGCTATCACAGCAAAGCAAACTGGGGAAGCCTATTTGGAGCCTCACTGGGTCAGACGTCAGGGCTGGCACCTGCTGCACTTTGATGACCCTCAGGGTGTTGCCCACATTTCTGGTACAATTTATAAAGAAGTGATGAACCAGGGTGGAGCCCTGCAATGCGCTGCTTGTGCAACTTGGAGGGGCATCACAGACAAAGTTTGTTTGTTTGTTTGTTTGTTTGTGCTACTCTTGCTGAGCACATCGCACACCATTTTCCTTTGACCATGGTAGGGTTGGTCACCCGGCTTTGGATGACATGAAAACCCATCAGGGATTGAGGTCCTCCCAGAACAGCCCATGGCTTCTCACTGGGGCAAGGTACCCTCAAAAGGTGGCTGTGCTGGGCAGACCCAGTCCTTGCAATTGTTGGGAACATGGTTTCCCTTGTCATCTTCTCTTACAATGATATGCCAAATTGGGAAGGGGCTGGGAAGAGCTGGATGCCCCACTGCTTCCGAAGCCCTGCTGTCTCACCTGGGTCAGGACAATACATTCTTTTCATTCCCCCTCTGCTGTTAATTCTCTCCCCCAGAGGCCAGTGTGTGGGGTAGCTGTGGGCCAGTGTAGTTGAGGGGTGCGATCCAGCCAGCAAATCTGGGATTCAGAATTCCTCTGCTAAGCTGGAAATGAGGCATGGTTGAACCTCACCTTGCATTTAGGTGTCAGCTGGCATGTAACACTGAGAGTATATTGTGCTACAAGCAGTGCAAGCATAAGACAGATGCCCCATGCCACAAAAACTAATTTGATTAAGGGGGTAAGCTAGTAACATGCTTGCGGACTGCCTTCCTACACACAGGTAAAGCAATAGGGCTTGCTTCTGAACAAGAAGTGTATAGGATTGAACTGTGGGTTGCTTGGGCATGTGAGCTAAGTCACACACTGCAACGAAAGAAAAAGAGCCATGTCTTCCCTTCATAGACCCAGGCACTTTGATCCAGGGAAACTCTTGAGTACATACATGTTAGATACTCTGTATACACGTTATCACAAGTCCCATGGATGCAGCCCTCTCTGGTGGGAAGGGGGATGCGTGGCTTTCCAGATGCTGGATTGCAACCCCCATCAGCCCCAAACAACCCAGCCAATAGTAAGAAATGATAGGGAATTAAGGCCAGCAATAACTGGAGGGACACACATTTGGGATCCTGTGCAGATCGGATGTATCATATTTTGAACTTCAGTCATAGCGAATTTCCCGGGACAGTAGTGGCACTGCCACCTGGCTAGCATCTGTCCTTTCACATGGGTTGCTGACATCTTAATGCCAGCCAGTGTTAAATAGTGTTGGTCCCAGAACTGGAAGGACCTTGTAGGCCATTTCATCCAACCTCCTGCTTGAGGCATGGCAATCAGAGCTAGAACACTCCCAACTGATAGATGCCTGTCTTCTTTATTAACACCTCCAGAGTGGGAATGGCCACCACCCCTCTAGGTAGACACAAAATGGTTTATTCCCATATGAACATTGCTCATGGTACTCATGACACACAGTCCTGGTTTCTTTCCAACATCTCTGGACTGGGCCCACATTCCTGCCTTCCTTTTCTCTCAGGTGTGTCCTTCAGGAAAAAACCAGCCATGGACCAGCTCCAGGATTTTCAAGATAACTGTAATTGCTTTGGTTGCTGTTATGGCACTGTGGTAAGAAGTAGATCAGTCCTTCACAGCTGGGTCCGTCCAGACACTTGGGGCTACAGCTGCCACCATCTCTGTCCGTTGGTCGTGCTGTGTGGGTCTGGGGGAACCAAACATCTGAAGGGTGCCCTCTAGATGATGTTAATTTTTCCCCATCAGTGCCCTCATATGAAACTCTAATTCACAAGCAGAGGTTCTAATTACCAGAAATACATTTATATACATTTTATAAAACAAAGATACTTTGTTGAACCTTATTGTAAAGACATGCTTAGAGGACCTTTAAGAGGCTTTCAACAAAAGGAGGGTGATATTGTGGCTGGACCTACAAAGAGACTTTCTGACAAAGGTTTTCCCAGCTTATGGAATGCGATGCTATCAAAGGGATAACAACTGTAGGAAAATGCATAAATAAATGGGTGTCCCCAAAGGCCAGCCAAAGAGCAGCAGGTGACAAGGGCCTCAGGCCAGCAGAAGCAAGCTCTGTTTTACCCCTATAGTCATGATAGTTCTCTGTGTTAAACGAGCCTAAAATTGAGAACAGCACGGAGAACAAATAGCTGGGCTGTTTGGGGCTGAAGAGGCTGAACAGCACGTGTATTATCATTTCATTCAGGGCTGACAAACATTATAACAGGTAGAAGCAGTTGTAAAGCATGGAGAGACTTTCAGTTGTGTTCTTTTTTTAAGAGGTGAGAGATACTGATCCCCAAAATTGTCTCATTGCAGTGTTGTGACAATAGCCACCCTTTATGTACTTAGCATACTGGAAGAAGACATTGTTCCTTCTCAACATAGGCAAGTAACTGATCTATCAATCACCTCCCTCTTCCATATGCTTGGTCAGAACATGGCAGCACATTTAAAGAATATAGACGCATTGAATGCAAAGTTGTAACATGTCAGAAAGAAGAGGACTGGCAAGTCTACAAGAAGATGCAGAGCCATTCTTGTTCAGCTGCTGTGCCCTTTCCCTACAGACCTCGTGAAGGCCTTGATCCGTGTATAGACTCACATTAAGTGTACAGAACCTCAAGCCATGGTGTAGAACCATTTGGAGGCCACACCTGGCTATCTGAGGATCCCAAGTTTGCCCCGCCACCTGAATTTTCCAGGAGTAATGGATGCTGGTGGTGCCAATCTCAGGGGAGGCGGGGTGTATCTGTTCTGGATTTCAGTCTGAACTCTTAAGGAACTAGCCATGCTGCTGATCCCCACCCCCCAAACAGGTTCAAGGCCATGGGTAGCTCCTTCAAAGATAATAATTCAGACTGGATGACAACTGCACTGCTCCACCGACACAGGAATCACCAGCCTATGCTGTCCAGGAGGTCACTTCTCCTTCCCTTGGCCCCAGTCCTGATGGTTTCATAGAATGGACTAGTAGAGTTGGAAAGGGCCAAGAAGGCCATCAGGTTCAACCCACTGTTGTTGCGGGAGACCAATTTACACCATCCCACTCCATTTGCTGTCTTATGGCTGCGTTTTCACCTTTCTGAGAGGTCAAACAGTCTCTCTTAAGGCTAATTGATTGCCTTAGCAGTGAAGATAGGCTGGCATTTTGGAGGTGGGGGGGGGGGTTCCACCCTTTCTGCCTTTGGCTCTGACCTCTGCTGGAGACTGGCTCTTAACAGCTTCTTTAAAATGGAATTGAGGTTTTGGGTTGGAAGAGGCTGACTCTTGTGTTCATGCTGCTGCTGCTGCACTGGAGTAATAGCAACATGTTTTCATTTGCTAATCTGATTTTATCACCCTTTCCCCAGCAATTCTACAAGTCTGGCAACACTCCCTCCATCCACCACTCTGCCAGGTACTGTGCTGGAAAATGTCAACAGAGAGAGAGAATATTATTGGTAAATCTAAAAGTGTACCATGTAGAAATGGCATTTGGGATCTGGCACAGAAATTCTATATCCTCACAACTGAAGCTTGTTTTTTCATTTTGATCTTGCAAAAGCCCAAGTTTCTAGTTCTTATGGCTGTAAATTCAAACTTAAAAGGATATGGGGTGCTTCCAGATGAAGCTTTCATTGTGGGATTGCTCTGCTTCATTCCTATAATTTGTGTGTGGAGTGTGTATGGGGGTTTCTAATCCTTCCTTGTTTTCCCACAGCATTTTCCATCTTTAACTGTGAAAAATTTGTTACAGAACAAATTATGGAATAACCACACAATTCCTTCTGATAGTTTGACTAGGACTTCTCCATCTAGAAGCACCCATGGGCAATGCTAGGTAAACTTTCTGAAGCCCGAAGTGTAAGACAGAACACCCAGTTGTCAAAGTGTGAGACTTCCATGTTTGCACAGGGCATTGCTTCTCCCTGTGCAACTGGAAACTGGAAGCAGAATAAATTAACTACTGAAAATAAATATATCTATGCAAACATGACTAATTTGTCAAAAACAAAAAGAACAAGAAGCATAACCAGCTGTGCTGATTCATGAACGGCAGGGAGTCCACATTTGGGTAATTTTATTAGAATTTTTATTTTTTTAAAAAAAGTTGCCAGGTTTTGAAGCCTCTAGTATGGCTTATCATTGGTACAGATAGCTGGTGTGGGGAGGAGAGGAACAATATCATTATTCAAGTTGTAAAATTAGAATATCTCAAAACAGAATTTTATTTTATTAAATGTGTGGGTTTTTTGTTTTTTTTTTGAATGTTACTAATACATTTCTTCTGTTGTAGTGACCAAATACAATACAGTGTCTTCAAACCCCATACCGACTGGCACTGCTCCTGAAGTGAGTTTCTGTGGCATTTTACCTTGTCATGAAACTTACTGCTGTCCAATTCAACAGATGGGAGAAAAAACTCGAAGTTATCTGCAGATGACAACAAAGGAGGAGAGTGAGTTAAACCATACATGACTGCTGTCTTGCTACCGCCAAAACTAAGGATAAACTCCCTCAGCAGTGTTTTGAAATCATGGCAAAGGGTCTCCATGTGACTCTATTGCTGGACATGTCCAGCAATGAATGTGGGGAAATAGTGCTAAAAACAGTAATATATGCTGGCAATCCACTGTTCGAAGGATGCTTTTCTCTCACACATGGATTTTCATGGGGACTGGCAGAGGACAGTTCAAGTGGTGCCACCTTCCATCTTCCCTGATTTCCCACTGCTTCTTCCATCATTTTTCTTCTTGCAAAAAATCTGTGAAGGAGGGGAAGTTGGAACAGTTGTACCATGCATTCACATTGGTGGTGTGAAGAGTCCTCCATTTAGAGGCACCAGAGTCCTCCATTTATCAGGCAGCCTACCCAAATATTGGTGGCTTGACTTGCTCTTCCTCAGAATCTACCTAAGGAAGCAATTTTCAACCCTCAAGGCCATGCTACACATTCCAAGGGGACCCTTTCTTCTTACCGTGACAACCAGTCATAATTACACAGGCCCTGAAAAACTGCTCAGGCATAGCTTTTCATAAAATGACCCTAAACTGCATTTATCAGCACATATCCTTTGCACATGTGCTTGACTGACAGTCTTGGAGAAGTCATAGGGGAGCTTATTTTGCTGTCTGCCAAGGATTTATTTCTATTATATGATCATTTCAATATGTGAAGGCCCTTTACAAAGCAATACATGCTTGTTTTCCCCCAGGAAACGAAAAGGAAGCACTACCAGAACAAAACTGGATTGAAAAGCCTGACCTTGGAAATGACTGTGAGTTTTGTCCCTTTGAAAGATTAAATCATTGAAAAGTTCCTTTATTACTTTATCACACAAGTGGGGAATCTGCTCTTGTTGGGGGCTGTGTTCCCTCGGGGGTAACCTAAAGGGGGCTGGATGCTGATGGGACTAATGACAATTATGGATGGGGTTGCCTCTGTTTCTCTTTCTCTTTTCTGTCAGCTCCCTTTTCTCTTGCTGTGACACCCTCTTGCTCTCTCTCTTCACTGCCATCAGTGGGATCTTATGTCCCCACTGATTCCTCTCCACCCCAAGTGGTGGATCCCACCAATTTCACTGTGCAGGTGAGAACCACTGGTCACACAAAGAAGATGTAGCATTTCCTAGGGGAAGCCCCCAAATGAGTGGAAGTGCCCGTTTCTGGAAGGAGGGAAGTCAGGTGTGAGTCACAACCACAGCAACAACAACTGGCCCTGTGATGTCAGTCAGGCTGCAAGTAAGTGGCCCAAAGCCACCCAGTGAGTTTCATAGTCAAGTGCAAACTAGAAGAACCTGGATCTATAACCATCACTCCACACACTTAAAACAGTGAGGGTTACATGGCCAAGGAGAGATAGTGTGTTTCTTTTTTGGTGCACCTACTCCTTTGGTTCCTCTACCAACACACTGTTGGTATTTCTGACATGGGCTAATGGTCCCTCTTTTTTTAACTATTATTTCTCTATCCTCCACCCGCTGCCAGTCCTACTGTCTCGACTTGTCAGTTTCCTTGTATATTGCCTACTCCTCCTTGGTTCCCTGTGACAGCTGCAAATAAATACATGTAATAGACCACAGACAAGGCTATGAGACAGTCACAAGAATCCACAAAAGTATACTCCCAATGGTGCATTTTTGAGACTCTGAACAATAATTAAAAAGCCAGTGAATGGGAACGGGTAATGGCAGGAGTGGGGTGGGGGAGATGGCTGGGGGAAGGAGACCAGATCAGTTCTGCTGCAAAGACTCCTGGGATATGTACCAGCGGCAGCCAGGGGACTGCGAGAACAGGGAGCGGGGGAAAAACCCCCAGCAAACCCAATCACCTTTTATTTGCACTGTGCGCTGTCCAGCTTGTGCCACTGGTTACAGGGGTGGTTCAGCATTTCATGTGAGCATTATGCATGGCAGTTTTCTGCTCAGAGCAGCAGAGCATCCCTGCCTCCTGCTTTCACCCACTGTGCTTGCATGAGGGGATTTGTTCATGTTTTACTGAAATGGCAACCTCATGTGGTGGCAATTATGCATTCTTTTTACAAGTGGGGAAATCTGAATGAAAGGTTAGTAGAAGGTCAGCTGTGGTAACTCTTAGTGTTTTCCTGAGAAGGCTGTTTTATGCAAACAAGCTCTTATGCAAAAACTATAAAGCAAAGTCACTATAGTTGAGAAGCAACTGAAAGGAATTGTGGGGAGATCTGGGCAAGGTGACAGCTATTTTGAGACTCCCATATCCACTACTAGCAAACCACCTGAGGAAACAGGATAGGGCCCATCTTCAAGAAAATCCATTCCTGAATACCGTAGCTCAAATTTGTCCCAGAAATTTGCACACCTTCTGCTATCACCAGTAGTGCTTTCCCTGTGTTTTATATTTTTCTAAGTGTCTGAGATGCTGAGCATTTCTGTTTTGGTGCAGAAGAATGATTCTATCTGTTTTTAGGGGTTGACACAAGAATCAGCTCCATGCAGATCCTGGAAACACAGCAAAAACTGGACCGTCGCTTTTGCAACAAAAACTTAGAGTGTGGGTAAGTAAAATGGTTCTGTTATAGCTCCTTTGATGCAGCAGCACAGAACCTGAGTGTGTTGGGATGGGCTTACGGCTTAGGGCATTACAACTAGACAATTCCAGAAAGAAATGTGCTATCAATAGGTCACCTTAACCTATTTGTAACCTGGTCTGATTCAGAATAAGTTCTGCCCCATTCCTCTTCAATTATTTCTAGAAAAAAAATATCTAACCAAAAAATGCCTTTGCTTGCATGGGACACTTTTCTACACAAGTGTATCCATAATTTTCAGAAGCGCTGGGCTTTACAAATGTTTGAGTTTTAGTTCCGATCCTGGCTAAATCACAGTAGGCTAGTTGGCTATTGTGTACAGCGAGATGCCATGGCTTATCGTGGATTTTCATTCAAAGAGCAGACTGGCTTGTTGTTCTGCTCAGTTTAGGTTATTGTTTAACAGAATCTCTCATTCAAGGAGTTGGCTCCTTCCTATTGCCATGCTACTGGGCTACTGTACATCACATGCAATGATAGCCACCAGCTTAGGTGGCTTTAAAAGCAGCGGTGAAGTCTCCTTATACTGCCCCAGTGCTTAAAGTCACTAAGTCCAGATTTTTCCCAGGACTCCCCAAAATACCAGCTGCTGATTTATAGCGAGTGGTACAACTTCGCTCTTTATACTCTTAGCATGCAGGCTGAGACAGACCAGAACATGGGTATTTAAAATATATTGTCATCACCGTTGTTAAAATTTATATACCACTTTCCACAGAAGTATCAAAGCAGTGAACAAAACATGCGGTGGCATCAAAGCAACAGTAAATATGACAATACAAATGCCACAATAAAATGCTCCACTGTATAAGCACAGTATAAGCCTATATTTATTTAACAGGTTAACTTTCAGAACAAATAATAACTGAATAATAGTAATAGTTCTAGAAAACCTAACAGCACATCTCTGCTTTCAATAGCTTCTTTCCCTCTCTTCTCATTCTATAATTTTCAATTTTACTCACTAATAATTTTACTAGGAGTGTTTCTACACAAGGCTGGTAATTTGCTGCATCCACTTGAGATTTTGTTGCTGAATTGAGATTTGAGTCCTATAAGAAAGCATTTCCATTTCTGTTTTCCTGCTTCATAACCTCTAGGTGGCACTGTAGTATAGTGGGAAAACACAAATTCTCATGAGAAAATCAGTTTCTTTTACTTTCACTATTAAATGCTGCCTTTTCTCATACTTAAAAAGTACACAGAAGTGACACTAGATGGTCCTATCCTTTTTTGAAGAACCTGTAAACTACTGTGAGTAGAGAAGAACAAGTGCACAATAGAAGCCTCCTGCAGAAAAACCCTAATTCCACTCACTGTCTTGAGCTCTTAATGCCATTCTCAGGTCTCCAGTCTTCTAAGCTCTGGCTTTCCTTACATTCTTTTCAGCGCTGGGCAAAGACCTTCCTTTTAAAAATATATTTTAATAGTTAATACTGCTAAACCTTTGCTTTCTATTTTTATCTGTATTTTATTATTTTAATTGTTGTAACAAAAAACAAAATTAGTTTTTTGTTGTGGTTTTTATTTTATTTTTTATTTTATCAGTTAAAGGAGGGCATATTTTATTTTATTATTTTATGATTGTGAGCTACCCAGAGGTGCTATGACCTAATAGGCAGCATACAAATGTTTTAAATAAAATAATAAAATAAAATATGCCCTCCTTTAACTGATTTCTTCCACCTATCTCCAGCTCCACCAGATGTCCATTCTGGTCTCAGCTGTCCATCCCATCTGTTACAAGGGGATTAGACAAACTCATGAAGGATAGCACTTCCCATGGGGAGTGGTACCTCCAGGATCAGAGGCAACATGCCTTTCCGTACCACTCACTGGAGAGCATGATTGGGAGGGTGTTACTGGACTCATGTCCGGGGCTAGTCTGGATCTAGGGTGTGAGCGGGCAGTGCCTCCTCCCAGCAGGCCATGCCGCAGCTGGGGATTTGTGTGTATGTCTGACCGCCCTGCATCCAGGCCTGGTCTTGCGCTTTCCACTGGCTGCCCAGAGGCCACTTTGGAACCAGAGTGGTAGATGAGGCCTTCAACTGGATTTATCAGGGCTCTCCTTCTTTCTCATTGCCATTTCCCATTCAAACAGCCGACAAACTCAGCATTATGCTTTGGGCCAGGCTTGTTCCCCATTCAGGATATGACAGTATTTTGCTTATGTTTTCCAGTATCTCAAAAAGGTCTTCACTCTGATAGATATTTATCTGGAATTTCAAAGCCTCAAATGATGTGGTCCCTTTTCATTGTTGCAGGTCTGGGAAGTATAGTTACATTGTTCCCCTTAACAAACATACACCTCTAGATGTAAAGATCTCACTGGAAATCAAGTAAGTGTGAGGACAGATTCAGCTATGGACAGGACTGCTCTTTCTTGTAACAAATCTGATATTGTTTGCATGGGTAAAGACCCATTTTCACAGATTTCAAGCAGTGCTGCAAGAGCAAGAAAGCCTGACATAGAAGCCCAAGAATTAATTTCCTCTCTTGAAGTAAAGCAAGATTCACTTTCTGTTCAAGTGAACATCAACCCGCCCCTGGCTTTTATGGACCTGGGCTGCACCTTTAAGGCCAATGTACGTGGGCCAGTCCTGCTGATATTTTAACCTCACTCAGACCTGGTATTTGCCTGAGCCATACAATCTGAGTATGGTCTAATGGCAAATAAGGCATCCACCATATTGGAACTAAGCATGTCTGGGCTTGGGCTTGCCTGGGATGGGAGACTGCCTGGAAACCGCTTGTAGCCACCTTGAGTTCCACAGTGGGAGAAAGGTGGGATATAAATTAAATGAATGATGGATGGATGGATGAATGAATGAATTCTATATAGAAGGCACTTGTGCAGTGTCCTTCATTCAGATGCTCACAAAAGTTGACCTGCAAGTTCTCTCTTGACATGTAAACATGTGTAGGGCTGCAAGTATTTCAGTCACTTGACCAGTTAGATATACCCAGCCAGATACATATTTACTTATTGATCTTATTTCCATAGTGGTTTCTACCCTGCCCTTCTAATACCACTGCACTACTCAAGTTTAATAATATTCCCATCTCTCCTGGGTACCCTGTCCATATCTGTATGATATTCTCAGAGTCAGCTATGATATTAGAATTAGCTTTATGTTTCAAAGGAATGATTTCTCCTAGTGATGCTCCTAGCATTTGTCCCATGCAGTTTGCTTATTTTTCTTCACATGGATTGTGCCTGTGTTTCTGTGTGAAAGAGCGCTTCTCTGCACAAGGCTTTTAACCTGCCACTTTACTGAAGCTTCTGCTTGCAGATTCTTGGAAGGATTAAGCTCACCACCTTTATCCACACTTCCCCCCCACCCCCGGGGTTTTCTTTGTCTGCCTCAGTATTCCATTGCACAAGCAGAGGAATGCAATGGAATTGTACACATACATGAGAGTTTGGCTCCAGTTCATTCTATCATTTCTACACTTCCCTCATTCTAAACCAAAGCCACATAAATGGCTATGAAGCACAGGAGAGGCCCTGGAGGAAAACCATGCTGTGTAAAGCACCTGCAAACGACCACAAGTGAGGGATCCAGAGTGCATGACAAAAGAATCCCAGTGAGACAGAGAGAATGCAGCACAATGGAACTTGACCATTTCTCCTTATATCCTTCTTTCCCAAGTACAACAGAACCACTAATAATATTTCAATGCAAAACCACATATGGAAATCCTTGCTCTCATCATCCACAAGCCCGAAAAAGGAGAGAATCCTTTCAAGTAACCACACAGGTATTGATGTGCTTCCATGTGCCAGTTGATGGGGAACATGGGTGGGAAGGTGCTTAAGTCCAGCCATGCCTGACTCTAGGGGGCGGTGCTCATCTCTGTTTCCTAGCCAAGGGAGCCAGCATTTGTCCGCAGACAATCACATGACCACTGAGATTCTGCGGACAAATGCTGGCTCCCTTGGCTAGGAAACAGAGATGAGCACCGCCCCCTAGAGTCAGGCAGGGCTGGACTTAACGTCAAGGGGAAACCTTTACCTTTACCCCAGACTGACTTCAAGCTGCTTTCTGTTATGCTGCATTTGTTAAGTGTATGTACCTAAAGCCCTCAGAAATCAAGTCGCTATCAGCTTCTGTCTGCTACTGCCAATTGCCAACCAGCCTTTATGATGGATTTCAGTAGCATGTTGCTAAATCTGAACTCGGTCTGGGATGGTGCATATGCATGGCTGGACTCTACTTGGGCTGAAGCAGCTGAAAGTCCACTCAGGTGGCTTTTTCCCTTCATCTGTGACAGTCTGAAGTGACTGAATCAGAGCACTCTTCCGTCTTGATACATGGAAGGGAGTGCTAGCCACTCTGACCCAGGCAGAAAAGCCCTTGTATCACCCTCAGATATGATTCTGAGAAATTCACTTAGATTTTGGGCAGGACAGAAATCACAGCTAGGGGAAGAAGCCTCGTTCAGTGGCAGAAACACACATGGTGCATGCAGGTTACGATTCCAGTGGTCTGCAGCTCAATTTAAAAATTACAGTATTGCTGTTATTATTTTCATTTCTAACTTGTGGCTGGCTGCTGCTTAAAAAGGTGTGATTCACAGTGGAGACTCCACACTGCTCAGCCTTAGCTGAGGAGATATAGGGGTGCTTCCAGTGAAGGCTTTCATTTTACAATCACACAACCTCATCCACAGTATTTTATTGGTGGGCTCTGGGTGTTCTCATCTATCATTAGCATCTCCCTTATGTTTCCCCATCATTTCTGCAATTTACCTACAAGAAACAAAATCTCATTAAGGAAGAAAGAGCAAAATAGCTGCACTGTGCTTTTCAAGTGGTACTGCTAGGAGCCCTCCTTCTGGAAGTGCCCTTGGTGTGCCAGACTGCTGGCTGGGTATGTGAGCAGAGAGCAGATGTGTTGATTGCCCAAAGACAAAACACCGGAGCACAGCACCACCTCCTCAACGTCTTGTGTTCAGTCTTCTTGACCACCATTTTCTCAAAATAGCTGGGTTGATTTCCTGTGCTTCTCTCCCTGCCAGCCACCCCCCTGCCCCCATTCTAATTCATGATGCCTGAAATTTGTTTAATCCCAATGGTGCCCTTATGCGTGAAGACAAACATATCCAGGAGTTGCCAGAGGCGTCTTCATCCATGATCTTTTTGCTATAATGCGATTGTGACCATGTGGGGTGGGGGTGGGAGGTGGGAATAAGAGTTGAATGAAATGTAGTCACAAAAGTGTTGGTTACAATGGCTCTATATTTAGCATTTCCTCCTTGCTGCAGTTTTCTGAAATGGGAATCCCAGCAAAATGGACGCCTAGGTCCCATCTTCTCTCTTTTTCATTTCTCATATAGGGATTCCAGCATATCTGGGTTCTTTCTATAGCATCCATGTTTGACAGTGCATACCATTTTCGTGTTGCTGTTCCAGTAAGTTATATATTCACAAGGAAATTAAGACTTTCAGAGAACTAAAACATTATGTCATGACTGCTCTGTAACCTGATGTCTCTTCCTTTCTATCTCAACAGGATCTTGCAGATTGTTCAATGGATCCTAACTATGCTGGGCTCTTTTTCACTGATTATTACTTCTATTTCTATCGCAATTGCATCTGAAAAGACAACTATAATGATTTCTGGAAAATGGAGACCATAATGACACTACCTTTGGTGTCACTGAGAACTTGTTTGTCACATAAATTTTCGTCGCATAACATTTAATGAAGTTCTGTTTGTCTAAGCTGGAAATAAATGGAAGAAAATAAAACTGAAAGTCTCTCTCTCTCTCTCTCTCTCTCTCTCCCCTCCCCCCTCCCCCTCCCCTTTCAATCTTCATAGCCACTTCTAGTAAATCTGTGTGACTGCAGACAAAGGGAACTTAGGAGCCTCCTTCAATTTAAGCTGATTTCAGTCAGTAAGATTCAATTGGCTTAAATCCAATGCTCTGCCCGCTCCAATTTGTGGATTGCAATGTAATCATTTATTCTAATGGTGCTATAGAACAGAATAATGGGACGGAAACAGTCTTATTTCTCGGAGCCTCTCAATGTATTTAACTGTTTCCTAACCAAAGAGAGAAAGAGTTGGACTTCTCTAATAGGATTTAGGCTACAAACACAGGATTGTGCACTTGTAGCCCATGATAATTAATCTAGAGAAAGAAAATATAACAATTTCTTCTTATTTTACCTATAAATATGAATTGTAAGAAGTAGACTCCTGACCACACATTTGTCTCTTTTTCCCCCTCTGAATGTTTCTTTGAATATTGAGTCAGTGCTGTGAAGGACCCTTGTTGAATAGCCTCCATGTGCAGCAGAGTTGGTAGGGGCCTGTGAGGCTATCGAATACAACCCCCTACTCTGCCTCCAGATGTTGGCCCCCATCTGGCCACAGGTCCCCATTTTTCTAGCTTAGCAAAAGTGACTCAACATGCCAGCATGATGCATAGCTATGCCTGTGAGTGGGCTACCCTGTTATGACAAAGAAGCATCCCTCCTGACCATGTGGCCCCCACCACAAGACTTTGATGGATGCTTAGACCACGAGCTTTTCTAGATGAGGTTTTTATTTTGCACTCTCTGTTCTTTAGTCATGATAATTTATGGGTGCTTTAGGTGATGAAATCCCTCTCCTGTGTTGTCCTCATGCTTTCCAGTCACTTTTCCTACGGAGTTCTGAACAGGAAAAGTACAGATTATTTTGCAATCCTGGGATGAAAGCAGCACCATCCATCAGTCGAATTGTATCATCCTTTTTCTTGCTATGAGTTGGAGGGGAGTGACTGTAATGTCCCCAGGCTTATCAGTGTTTTGTTATGGGGAAACAAGTCCTTCAGTTTTCCATTGCTACAAGGAAAAGATGTGTCCACCTCAACTGAACTTGCAAGGTTATTTTGTCTTGGAGTTGGCATGTGTACATTTGGCTCATTTAGTTTTAAAGTCGTAATATCTTAAGGCAGTAGATGGCTGTGTCTGAATGAAGTTGCTTCTCTGCTTTTAAATTATTCTTGAGACTAGGGGAGGGTTAGAGGGAGACTGGCTCCCTTAATTGTTGTGGTGGTTCTCTTAGCTATTGTTTTTAGAAGACTGAGCAGATGGACTACAAATATGCTAAAACTGGAACTCCTCTGACACCTTGCTTCCTAGCAATTTGGGCACGTTTAGTAGATTGTTATGCTCACACACTCCTTTCTCTGGGTTGTGTCCACCCAGTTTTTCAGCACCTCAGCCTGCTTCCTCAAGCAGCATCTCTGCCCCTCTGTATAGCCTTTTTTGGATGGTTGGAGGGGAGGGAGATGGCAAAGTCCACTACTACTCACCCAGTCGAATTCACCTACATTTGGATCCAATCCAATTCCAAAAACTTTAGGAAGATCCCACTAATGAGAACAATCAGCTAGGAATCTCCCTAACAAAAGAATGCATTTGGCAACCCTAACCCTAACCCTGGCAATTAAAGAAGTTTCAACGTGCCTTTTGCCTGCATTAAAACTTTCCATTGCATTCTTTCCTTCTTAGGATAATAGCTTTATAGCTATGGATGTACAAGAATTTCATTCCTATTTGCAAAACATGCAAACAACATCCTGCTTGCAACCCTGGACATCAATACTCGGAAGTTTTTGCAATTTCCAAAACTTACATTTGCATTCGGATATGTGTATTTACACAAACATGCCTATTTGTAGATCCCACCACAATTCTTGTTTTCACACTTTAGCCTATCATGGTAATGGTGAGAGAATGTGCACTTTGGGCTAGAAAAAAATGCATTTTTAGAAATGTGTATTTCTTCATCTGGAAAAAATGTGCACTTCTAAAAATATGCACTTGTTCTGATTGAGAAAAGGGGAACTCACATTTGGAAACAAATGAGGCAAAATCTGCACTGAATAAGAGTTTCAGAGGACCTCCAAATGCTCAGACCTTTCATATTTATCCATCCCTATCACTGCTTCTGGAACCATCAAGGAATCCTGGTTTATCAGAAGATAAAAGGCAGTGGCAGATGATGGCCTATGGCACAGGCAGAACTTGTAGTCTTGTGCTGTTCAATACACAAAACCTCTGGCATTATTGAGAATGGGGCTGCTATTATGAAAGAAATATTCCTTTCAATTTTGGAACAATTCTGCGATTGGTATTAGAACTAAAAACTGGTCAAATTACCAGCTTCAGCAGCTTTCTGAACTAATGAAGTGAATTATTTATTTCTCTGCTTTCTGCCAAAATAGTCTTGAGTTGTGCACTTGTTTTTTTGGTCTTCTGAGAATGTTGTAGCATATTTGTGGCACCTTTTGAAATTGCAATAAAATGTCTATTTCTTCAGTTTGTTAAAGAAAACCATTGGCTTGTAATAACAGCTTCTGCAATAGTTAGAAAATAGAACTGATACGGACTGTTGCATAGTGAAAGCTTGTTCCATTTTTTCTGACCTTGCAAGGAGAATGATCAAAACAACATAATGTAAAGCAATGGCATTCTTGGATTATCACATCTTTTTGTGTCCCTAGGTTTACCTAGATTACCGCTAACAACACAGCTGTGATTTTGGTTTTCCTGAAATATAAACAGACTACAGTGTAACCATTCACTGTTGCTATGTCATTTAGGCATCAGACCATGAAATGCCTACACAGATTTGCAGAAGCCCAGCTGTTCTTTAGTTGGACATGCATATTAGTTGGTGTTGAGGAGGGACAGTAGCACAATGGTAGACTATACACCTGCCTACAGAAGTCCTGGGTTCAGTCCTTGATATCTCCAGATCAGCCATAAAAAACTTACGTCTACACACTTGGGAGAGCTGCTGCCAATCAGATATGAATTCTATAAGTAGACTGATGGTCCATCTAATTTCCTATATAGATTGCTTCTCATACGTAAATCAGTTCTAGGTTCACATTATTTAGAAGAACTGAGTCAACTGAGAAGGGTTCTCCATTTGGTATGTAGGCGTAAGCAGTGGATCTTTAGCTGGGTAGCATTGCTTCCAATAGGCAGGGTTGCAACTCAGGAGGGTCACTGGCCTAAGGAACCTCAAATGGTCACCCAGACAGTGGAAGATAATGGGAGGGGGAGGCAGCAACCAGGGCACAATGAGACTTGCCATGGCATAATTTCTTCTCTTCAAAGGCATTTTACTCTCACAGGGAAGCTGTTCAGGCATGTACATAGTTATAGGTGCTCATTTGATTTTACTTTTAAAATATTGTCATTCATTCTCTGTAATAAAATATTTCTTTTCATTTGGGGATAGGTGACTCTCTCAATTTGGGTTACTTTCAGACAGTTACTCTCATTTTTCTTAAATTCAGTTCGTATTGAATGTTGTGACTTTTTCCAAGCTGAAGATAAGACCACTTTGACATTCATATTTTAAAAAACCCCATGAAAATCATATTATTTTGTGACTTTCCCTAATATATGTATTTTGTACATAATATGTACAATTTTGTAAGCCATTTCTCAAATATGATTCATTTTGTTGATGTTGTTTTCACTAATGCCTGACCACCTTTTTGACTGGAGAACCTGGAAACTGGGAAAAATGTGAATTTTGAAGGAAAATTTAGCTTTGGTTCACATACTGGCCCCAAGGTGTGAAATGAACCAACACCTTCCTATCTTTCTTCCCTCCCCTCGGCCAGCGTTGGCAAACTGCTGTTGTCTTGCTTGTGGCTTGCATGCTGGGGCACAGAATCTGCAGTCCGTAGACTTGATCAGGCCCTCAGAGACTCTGCTTCTTGCTCAGAGAGGCTCGCCATAGAGAACCCTGCAACATGGATTCTGCCCTGGAAGCCCTGCCACCTCCACAGGCCTCTCCCTTCTTGAGAGTTGCAGAGGATGAAGCTGGAGGAATCCAGACTGTTACCGTTAGTACCTCACCGATTGGACATAACCCCAAGGATTCCTCACTGCCACTTTGCTGCCCAAGAGCGAAGTGGGTGATCCACCCATCCCTTTGGCCAGCGAATCCAGTGATTTCACTGCTGGAGTGGATGTGGTCACACCCACCTGCTGTCCTGTGGCTCATGGAGGGCTGAGTAACTCATAGAACCATAGAATAGCAGAGTTGGAAGGGGCCATGAAGGCCATCAAGTCCAACCCCCTTCTGTTGCAGGACACCACGTTACACCATCCCACTCAGATGGCTGCCAGGTTCTTCTTGAATGCCTCTAGTGTAGGCAGCTGGTTCCACTGTTGTATTTCTCTGACAGTGGGGAAGCTTTTCCCGATGTCCAGCCTGAACGTGGGTTGTCACAACTTGAATTGAGTATTCCATGTCCTGCACTCTGGCATCAGTGAGAAGAGATCTTGACCTTCCTCTTTGTGAGTCTTTGAGGTACTTATAGGGGCCCCTATCCATTTTGGTTCTGCTCCCTGACTTAAGCATACCAGGAATACAGAAGAACTTGTTAAGCATGGAATACTGGTGGGGGGACGGGGTAAGGGAAATGTTAGTTTCTGAAGGTCCAGAGGACAGGTACTAGGGATTGTACTGTGAAGTAGCACTAATTTATTCCTTAGCTGTAACGAAAAGCAGTCATCAGCATTTTGGAGCTCCTTATATGGAGAAGGTTCTAAGTAGCTTGCTTGTTTTTAATAAAGAATGAGATGAGAGTGTGAAATATGAGTAAGGAATGCTACAATCCATGCGGGAGAGAT